GGGGGGGGGGGGGGGGAGAGGCAGAGAGGCAGAGGCTGTGTGTGAGTGTAGGTGTAGAAATTCTAGGGCAGGCTTATGGACTTTAGAAAAAAAGAAAAGTTGCTCTGAGCCGATGGAAACTTTAGAAGCTGATGATGAGTAAGCCGGGGGCTGCGTGATCTCACTCTTCTCATAATTACTAGGTTAACGGTGTGGCTCCTGTCGAGATGGAATGGGATTTGTTTACTGGGCCGGCGTATTTTTAGCCTGTCGGCTCACAAGGACCAGCCCTCAGAGTCTGTCTTTCCTCTCTGGTGATAGAGTGTCTATCTAACCTAGGTGTCTTTTCTGGGCACAAGGCGCATGTAAAAATGGGGAAGTTGAAAGACTCGGACTGGTGAAATTTGAACTAAGAGATTTACCTCCCCTTCCCCCTCCCAAAAAAAATCAAAAAACTTCTTAGAGAATTCTTAGGGAATTTTCATGACTGCAAAGCCAAGAAAGAGCTAAGGACTTTGACTTTTGCTTCCCTTATCTTTTTGCGAGTACTACAGACGATGTTTTATTTAGGAAACTAAAAGCCGGTAATTTGTCGGTCTTTGGCTTTTCCCACTATATATTTAGGAAGTCTTTCAGGAGGCTGGATCCCTTTGTCTCTCAAAACCTGTTTCAGAGGTGGAAGGGCTGAGTAAGAAGCAGTAGTGGTGCTAAGATGAATCTAAAAGACTAACTGATTTCTATTTTAATTTTTTCTCTATTGTATAACTAAAATGACACTTAGAAAATGTGTTTCTTAGTCAATGAGATTCTGTTCCTGAAGGGATGGAGAAGTCTGCCAGAGAGAATCAGACTTGTAGTTATACGTTGGCCGTACATAGCTTATAAATGAACACATTCTAGGTAAACAATGAGGAATTAATTATGTTCTTTGCCCTCATTGTTTTCAAGCAGGTCTTTTAAGTTTACTAACCTGCTGTGCTAGTCTATTGATATTTTGAAGGCTGAACAGAACTGTACGATAAAAGAAATTGGCTGTTCCTCATGTGCAGAGCTGAATAGCAGCAGCCTGTTCTACCTTGACTAGTGAACTGGCATCTTCAGAGCGCCTTCTAACACAGGCCACTTTCTGTGTACTCAGAGATTGAACATGAACACAAATATTAGCTCATGCTACGAATAATTGAGAAGGTAAATATGCTGAAAACATATGTTCCAAAACCAAAATAGATTTTTTTCGATTTTCCCTCTCATTTAGGATTATCAGTACCTTTCTGCCAATCATTATCCATTAACGTGAATAATTTAGGATTGAATAGATGTCTGCTTTGACATTACACATTCAAGCAGGAAGTAAAGATGGAAAGTTGTTTCCAAACTACTACTGTTTTATTTATTTATTTTTGGTGGTCTGATCTGTCTTTTCCTTTCATTTAGTACCAGGGACGACTTCTGTGGGGGGGGGGGGGAAGCAGTAAAACTTTGCCAAAGAAAAAAGACTGGGGTGTTGTATAAGGCAGGATGACCAGCTGGATGCTCATGTTAGATGTACTGTGTGGAGTTATGTCACTGACTTGGAAATGTTCTTGCAGTAATAATTGCTCTATCTCTCTTTTCCTCTCCCCTCTCCTACCCATTAGTGGAAAAATATTTCAGTTGGAGTCTAAAATTGGATTTAAAAAAATCACATATCTCCTCTTGGAGTCTTGACTGTTAATAGTTGTTTTAATCCGTGTGGGTTGGCTGGTGCCAATAGTAGTTATGACATATGGCTAATTTCTATTTATATCTAACTTCCTTTTGTTGAACTGTATATATTACTGTACAGGGTGGGGATGGAAGAGTTTGTATAAACTTAGAAATGAGTGTAGAGCAAGCAGCCCCAAGAGCTAGCTCCACCACCCTTCTCAGTTCTTAGAAAGCTTTTTTTTTTTTTTTTTAAATAGAAATTTGAGGTACATTGTAAGCAGCCAAGTGAGCTATGGTGGAACAATTTAGTATCACAAATAAATGTTCACATTGTTATGAGAGCATTGTATTGCTTGTTAAAGTTTCTGAGCTCCCAAATGCCTCAAGTATTCTAATAGTTCTGGCTGAGACTATGGCAGGGTGGGGAGAGGGAGAGAGAGTTTGTTTGTGTGTTTGTGTGTTTGTCTAGGGAAGTATCCCTCTTATCACAAACACTTATCTCACCAAAAAGGAAAAATCAGTCCTTGGAAATGTGATCTCACTGATATGTTTCCTACGTGGAATTGTGACTGGAATCTTAGTAGCGCCTGATAGATTCAGACCATTAAAGTTCTGTGCAGGGCAGTTCATCATGAACTCCTGAATTCAGTTGGCTTTTTAAGATAATAGAAGAGAGGACTTACAGATGCCTTGCTGAATAGTGATTGAACACTCTTATGGCCGAAGCAGCCTCCAAGCTCCAGTGGCAGCCTTTGGGGATCTAGAAAGATGTAAAACAGGTGTCTTCCCTTTGAGTCGGGGGTGAGGGGTGGGGAGGTGGCACATGGGACAGGGAGGATGATGACATATACATGGGAAGAGGCTTTAGTGTTCAAACACTTTAAAATACAGGACACTGTCTAAACAGAACCAAGTTTAAAGTACTATACTGGCATGTGGATGGGCTGGAGAAAACTTGAAGTAATAAGGAATTAATGAGATTAAACAAGGGGAGCTTTCTGAATCAGTATGTTTTGAAATGGACTTGGGAGGCTATGGATTAGTCATATAAAACTATGGACTGTGAAATTAGATGGACTTTGGTTTTTTCTTTATGACGTGACCTTGCCCATGTCATTACATTGAAGTCAATGAAAAATGTTTTCTGTGTTAGGAATAAAAGAAAAAGATTTTTTGAGGGGCTGGGGATGCTTGCTTAGCATGCAGAGATCCCTAGATTCTGTCCCAGCACTGCACAGATTGGGTGTGCTGATGCATATATGTAATCCCTGTACCTGCGAGGCAGAGGCAAGAGGATCACAGGTTTATGGGCACCCTTCCTTGGCTGTGTAGTGAATTCATGCCCAGCCTGGGGTACATGAAACCTAGTCTCAAACACCCAGCGAAAGCGTTTCCCGAATAAAGTATAGAATGTGCAGTGTGCAATGATGGTGCGTATGAATGACTAAATTATGTGTGAGAGTGACTGGGGAGAATGTGGGTTGGTCGAGTCATGGGGAGGAAGAGGGTGGAAAGGACTCAGAGGCCAGACTGTTGGATGTGGATAGAAGGGTCAATAGAGTCATTGTAGGTCCGCGAACAAAGGATGGATTTAATGGGAAATATTGAGCCCTTTGGTCCAGGAACTCAGGGACAAGGAGTCAGGCAGCAGCCGGTACACTGTGACTCTTCTGCCTCTTTTCTGTGCCATCCTGGCCCAGAGAGACTTAGCCAGTAGATGAAAGATTCGGTGCAGGAGTTTGTGTTTGCGTACCTTGCTGTCTGAGCTCTGCTTGTCCCTGTCTCATAGTGCACCAGCCTGTGGAGAAATCGCGAGACTATGGCGGGGTTCTGCTCAAAAACTTGTGGTAAGGATGACATTATGTTTCAGGGGCATTTAGTTCTGCTAATGTAGAGAGTACCGGCATAAGAATTCAACACTCTATGAACAAATTTATTATTTTAAAACTGCATTATTTTGCTTGGTGGTGGTGGTACATGCCTTTAATCCCAGCACTCGGGAGGCAGAGGCAGGCAGATCTTTGTGAGTTCGAGGCCAGCCTGGTCTACAGAGCGAGTTCTGGGACAGCTAGGGCTACACAGCGAAACCCTGTCTCAAACAACAACAACAACAACCCACCCAAAAAACAAAAAGCATTATTTTTAAAGCCAGACTTACTATTTTGGGGGTTTTACTGATGTTGAATTTACATCTCTAAGCCTATATTTACCTGGTAACGAGGAAAAGACTGTAGGAGTGATGAAGTACAATTAATTTTGGCTTAAATATTTGGCATTAGAAATCCATAAAATTAATAGTCCATTTATGGGTAATTAAAACCAGACTATACTAAGTATCTTAATGTAGGCTAATTTCAAAATCTGTGAAGGTCGAATGTGGCCTCTCAGGCTATCTCCTTCCTGCATAAGAACATTGGTCGATGATGTCTATTTTCCAGCTAGAATGAATCTTCATTTACAGTATCTGGGGTCTCACTGCATTGTTAAAGGGCACTGAAAAATCTTCTCCAGCTATCTTGAAGGAAAATTCTTTGATGAGTAATTGGAAAAAGGGGTGTGTGTGTGAAAGGTCTCCACGTAAGAAAAGCACAGCTGTTCTTCAGTGGACTTAGTGCCCTCCTTCCTGCCAGCTGCCACCTTCTTGTATCATTACAAAGCTATGTGTGTGTGATGTCAGGAGCACAGGTTAGTCCTTACCTTGAGTCAGGTGATTCCATTTCTGAGCTGGAAACACGAGGCAGCAAAGACGGATTTTATCATGTACAGCTAGATTGGGATTAATTTCAGCTGTATTGTTTAGTTATGTCTTATCCCTTTATTTCTTCTAAGAATTAGTTTGGGGTAAGAAGAATTAAGTAAACTTGCTTTTATTCAGTTCTGTGCTAAGTGCTTGAAGGACTGGGGGAAATGACAGCTTTGTGTCCTTGAAGAGTTTTGAGTTGAGTTGCAAGTAAGAAGAATAGAATGGATGTCTGTCGAGCCTGTATTTACATGCCAGGCACAATGTTTAAATTGAAAGTATATTATTAATTACATAACCCAGGCCTTATACCATAGACACTTTAGGAGAATAGTACTCTGGTAATTATGGAAGGTACCATAGAGGAATTATAGCATTTCAAATGCTTTTAAAAAGTGAATTAGGAAAGGCAGATATAGTGACACACACCTGTAATCCCAAATCTTAGCACATGAGAGGCTGAAGATCAAAGATTGTGGGCTTCAGATCAGCTAGAGCAGCATAGCAAACCATATATATAAAACCAGGAGGAGGTGGCGCACGCCTTTAAACCTAGCCCCTGGGAGGCAGAAGCAGGTGGATCTCTGTGACTTCTAGGATAGCCAGTGCTACACAAAGAAACCCTGCCTCAAAAAACAACAAAAAACAAAACAAAACAACCACCACAAAAACCAAGACATCAAAGGGACCAAACAAAGTCCTGGAAACATTCAAGATGTTCTGGGGGTGTTGATTAGATTGACTTGAGTAGCAGTGAAATGAGGGTTGTTTGGGGTTATGTTAATGAGAAAAGGGAGTCTCAAAAAGCTAGGCTAACTAGGGAAAAGGGAACCTGTGAAGATTTCTTAATTAGAATAGTAATATGACAGTAAGATACAAGTTGGCCGCTTGTTTTAAATAGAAGAGTTTGCTGTCTGGAGTCTGAAGTGAGGGGCCTGAGAATAGCTTTTGAAGGTAGAGTAAGAAAAGAGTAGAAATGAGATAGTGAAGGAAAGTTGAAGCTTGTGAGGACCGGGTATGGGAGACAGGCGGGCCGTGAGTCAGATAGGACTTGTCAAGCCTGGGCTCTATGAGACACTGACTGAGATAAGACATTACACAGATTTCCTTAGTTATACTTTCTAAAAAGTTTGTATGTGTGTGGGAGGTCCTTCATGTGTGTATTTGTACCATGTGCATGCCTCTCTTGGCCAGGTTAGGGTGCCAGATTCCCTAAAACTGTAGTTACAGGTGGTTCTGAGCCACCTGATGTGAGTGCTGGGTCCTGAACCCTGGTCCTCTGGAAGAGCAGCAAGTGCTCTTAAATGCTTAGCCATCTCTGCAGCCTCAGATTTCCTTATTGCTAAGGAAATGATACTTGATTTCAAGTGGCACATGTCCAGAGGAAGCTGTGTTGGTTGCCAGAGGTAAAGCTGGGTGGGTGGAGGCAGTGGCTAGCAGGTTTACCAGCAAGGATGCAGTGGCTGTACTTGTGTGAGGATGGATGGGTTTAGAGAGAGCAGCATGGGAAAGACAAACAGTAAGCCTGAGTGTTAGCATTCTTCCTTCCGGCCCAGCCCACTTGGGTCTTCTTTCTCCTTCCCTGTTTATTTGGTTCTGTTTTCTATTGTCTGCCCCATCCAGTGTCTACTGGATGTCTCCCATCTTACAGACTATGTCCTGTATACTGAAAGGATGGGAATGGGTCAGGAAAAGTCTCTGCCCACAAGGAGCATAAGGCTCTAATTTAATGGTTCTCGGCATGGTAGGTCCCATATCAGATATTTACATCACTATTCATAACAGTAGCAAAGTTATAAAAGGTATGCAAAAGCAAAAAGTTACGAAGTAGCAACAAAATAATTTTATGGTTGGGGGTCGCCACAACATGAACTGTATTAAAGGGTCACAGCATCAGGAAGGTTGAGAACCACTGGTCTAATGGAAAGGTAATAAATATATAGATGAAGTGTGATAAAAGCTGAGTAAACATTATGGGGTAGAGAGTGGAGGCCCATGGGTCAGTTCTGCTGTGGGCAGATAGGATAAATGATCGACTCCTAGAGGAAAGAACATTGCCCAGGAAATGACGAGCTAAGCATGGAGCCTGCAGGAGACTCTAGCTTAAAGGAATGAAGCAGATCCACGGAGTGTCTAGAAATTACAGCTGGCAGACAAGATTGGGCGAGGCTGGATCATGTGGAGCTTTATCTCCTGTCAATATGCCCATCCGTCCATTGTTTATTGAGATGGAGTTTCATGCTGAAACCTATGCAGGCCTGGAATTTAACTGTGTAGCTCAGGCTGGTCTTGAACTTACAGCTGTTTTTCTGCCAGCCTCATAAGTGCTCCTGAGTACAGATGTGAAGGTCATGCCTGGCTTATGCTTATTTTGTGGTGCTGAGAGTTGAACTCAGTGTCTCATACATGCTAGGGTATGTGCTCTACCACTGGAATGCTTTATCTGGTAGCTCAGTAAACGATGAGGTAATAAGGATTATAAGCATATGGCGGCATGTCTCAAATCCAAGACCAGTTATTTCAGTGGTGTATAAAGTGTATTCGAGATGAACAAGACTGAAGGCCTTTTAGTAATTTCCTGTTTAACTAGAGCACATTTGTTGATGGAATTTATGGAGTTAGAGAACTGGAGGGATTATGATGTTTTCTTACTGATTTTCAGATTGAGTACCTGAGGATTTAATCAGAGTCACAGAGTGGTTTTTTTTTTTTTTTTTTTTTTGATGATGATGGCTCAGTCTAGAATTCAGTCTTCAGTGGCTGGCCTTTGGCAGGTGGTTAATAAATGTGAGGTCACCACACTGTTCTCTGTCCTGTGTCAGTGTTTGTTTCCCCCACCTTGTGTTGTGCTGAAAGACAAGGCCTCATCACCTCATCCACTGTCCTTGTTAACCAAGTGAGCAGTGGTGTTTCCCAAGGCCTGACTCGGAAAATCTTGCTTTGAAAGTACCACTGAGGAGGGACAAAAGTCGAATTAGGTGCCCAGGAGGCGGGTGAACAGTGTGTTGGGATTGTAGCTGTAGTGGTTGGGTGTAGAAGGAGGTCAAGGTTTTCCTGAGGATGCAGATCTATTTTTCTTCCCCACTAAATTCCCTTCACGTTGCTTTCCGTTAAACTTAGTTTTAAGTTGGGCCAGCAAAACTTTTGTTATTAAGAAGAGGCTGTGGCTTGGTATGGTTTCCTATTGCTGTAATCCCAGCACTGAGGGGCTGATGCAGGAGGTGGTGAGTTTGAGGCTAGCTTATACTACAGTAGTGAGACCCTGCATCACCCCCCAGTGTCCCCAGCCAGCATGGTGGCTCATCCCAGCACTTAGTAGGTAAGGTAGAAGGACTTGGAAAATTTGAGCCCAGCCTGGGTTACATAGTGAGTATCAGGACTGTTTGGATCACAGAATGAGACTTCGTTTCAAAAAACAACGACAGACAAACAAAAACCTCAAACCAAACCAACAGGCCCAGGCAATCAGACACTACTCAGACTCGAACTTGGCTGTGCTTTGAACTGTGGAAGGAGATTGGTTTTTATAATAAGAGTTTGTGTGTGTCATGCTTTGCTGGGGAGGAACAGGATGAGATAGAGAACATCTTCCGTTTCCTGATTCCCTTGGGGAAGTTAAGACTCTGGGGAGTGGGGAAGGATGGGTACCTTCTGATGGCCTTCCTCAGATCCTGACTGACTTGCGATTTTCTTCTGTTTTCCGAGCTGTGTCAACATCTTCCCCAGCGAAGGGCTTTGGTTTGGAAGCTGTCCACTTCAGCAGAGCTGCCAATTCTTGATTCTTTCTCAAGTGGGCAAGGGTACATTTTGTTTTGTTGGTGAGTGTTGGGGAGGAGAAAGGAGGCACAGAAGAGTGCCCACAGCCAGTCCTTGTCCGGCTCGCTCTGGCTGCCAGGTCCCCGGCTTTGTGTCGGGGGAGATGACTTGGCTGCACGGCATCTGAGTTATTTGGGAAGGTGGCTCTCACTCTCCTCAGCTATCTGATTGGGATGGCGGTATAAAAACTTCATTCTTGGCCAGTGTTGTCAGCCTCTGCTCCACCCTCTTCTAGACACTTCTTGTGTGTACTGTATGAAGTATTTATGACTCTTCAGCCTAGAGTGAAAC